GGCTGGCATTTTTCGGATCTGGGACTTTGCAGTAACAAGAGAAATCATTGGGCGAGCTTTTGAGGAGATTGGCATCATCCTCCAACGAAGATCATCTTCAACTTCGACAACAGAGAGCTTTCATCCTTGGCTTATCAACCGAACTTTCGGTTCAAATCAACTCTTTTACAGAGTTCTTCTAAACTCGTTCAGAGTTCTCAAACTTGCCACGCAAGTTCTCCATAGCGTCGAATCGTGAGGAGAAGACATCGTTCCAGTGAAGTAAAACGTCGGATCGTCAACGGAGAGCAAACTCAATGCGAGTATTCGAGGGAGGCACTCCATCGCCACCGAGAAGAACCCAGTTTTAAACAAAGGAGAGAACCAAATTCGTTACCGAGAAGAACCCAGTTTTAAACAAAGGAGAGAACCAAATTCGTTCTCTTCTCTTTTGTAATCAAATTATAACCGGAATCAAAGAAATACAAGTCAATGTTCTCTTCTCTTTTGTAATCAAATTATAACCGGAATCAAAGAAATACAAGTCAATTTTCTTTTGTTCTTTTCATTACAATTTTTCCAACACGACAGTGCTGCACCCTTAAAATTTTAAAAAAATTTGTACCCCAGCCCCTCCAGTTCACCTCTCCCCAAGTTTCAATACATTTTACATCAAAATCCTAACTTTACCCTCAACAACCTTCTTTCTTTCTTCTTCTCCTCCTCCACTCCCCCTCTGCCCCCTCCCTTAACTCTCTCCTCCTCTTCTCCTCCTCTTCCTCTTCGATCCTGTGGCGGTGTCGGCTTCCTCTCCCATGCTGAGATCCGCCGCTTGTTGGGGTTTTTCTAATGACCAACGACGACATCGCTGATGACTTTGCTGTCATTTTGAGCTACGCACATCAACGATGACCTCGACAACGAAGACACTTCCCAACGACGACATCGACGATGAAGACGCCTCCCCGGCAACGAAGCCGCCAACTCCCCAACCCACTCCAGATCCAACTCCTATAAGCACACAACAGCCTCTTCCCCTATCCAAGCCAAGTCCGACCAACCTCAGCCCCAACCTCGTTGATTTATCACCGCCACCACAATACACTCCGCCTAAATGCACGCCACATGTTTGACCTAATGACTGAACACCACGCCCAACCCTTGCACCTCCCAATCTTTGAAATGTCACATCAACCTTCAGCCGACGCTCCGCCTCCAACATTACACCACCCACATCGTGTTACGAAGTCTCCCTACCCCAACGGTGCACCACCTACACCGTAGAGTTTGATGCAGAGGTGGTGACCATCAGGTCGGTGATGGTGAACGAGTTGAATGAGATGGGGGCGATGATGCTATTCATTACAGCGGAGAAGGGGTATTTGGATATTGTGGAGGAATATGTTGGGGTTTGATTTGGTTGATCGTCAAAATAATTGAGAGGGGATGTGTTTGTGTTTGTGTGTGTGAGTTTGTTTGTGCCGCAATTATTGTAGGATTTTGGTGTGTGTGTGTGTGTGTGTGAAGTGTTGAATTTTATCTACTATCTAACTCGGTGAAGAAAATAACGATGAGGATGAAGTCAAAGGGTGGCAGATGAGGCTTATCGGGTTACTGGGTTTCAGATCAGTATCGGATGCCGGCGATCGACAGTAGAGGGTGGGGCCCGCCGCTGGAGCAGGATAGTTGGAGGGATGAGGAGGGACAAAGGGAAGAGAGGCGGCGGCGGAGGCGGATGTGAAACACTTTTGTAACGAACAGATCGCCATAACCGATCAACTTGCAAAGAACCGATCGCCGATTAATATGAGTTGCGGATGTGAAACACTTTTGTATGTATGAACTGAAATACTTTTGGGTGTATGTAATAGCTAAATACTTTTGTATGTATGTAGTAGCTGTGTATATGAACTGAAATACTTTTATAGGGATGTGAACCATAATGCAAATGTGATATAAAATTGATGCACAAATTTGTCCTATTAACTATTGAAATACTTATATATGTCATTAACTATTGAAATACTTTTGTTAGCTTGTTAAGTTACACTGTTAGATTGTTAAGTTATACAAGTAACATGTTAACTTTTCTTGGTAGCTTGTTAAATTACACAAATAACATGTTAACTTTCGTAGGTAGATTGTTAAGCTACATAGATAACATGTTAACTTTCGCAGTTAGATTGTTAAGTTACACAATTAACTTGTTAACTTTCTTTATTAACTTATTAAATTACACATGTAACATGTTAACTTTCGCAGTTAGATTGTTAAGCTACACAGATAACATGTTAACTTTCCTTGGTAGCTTGTTAAGTTACACAGATAACATGTTAACTTTATTTGTTCGCTTGTTAAGCTACTCAGATAACATAAGTTACACAGATAACATGTTAACTTTATTTGTTCGCTTGTTAAGCTACTCAGATAACATAAGTATATGTCCACCTACAAAAAATGTGAACGTTGTTATTTGTTCGCTTGTTAAGCTACTCAGATAACATAAGTATATGTCCACCTACAAAAAATGTGAACGTTGAGGATTTATATATGTCAATAGCTGTGTATATTTATCCTATTAACTATTGAAATGCTTATTCATGTCATTAGCTGTGTATATGAACGTTAGGGATTTACCTGTTAACTATAATCTATACAAACTATAATCTATACATAAATTATAGTTAACATGTTAACCATATCTGGGGTGTAATGTGATACAACTACAGAACTACTTTATAGGTTGACATATACTTATGGTTAATATGTTAACTTATGGATTAAGAGTTAACAGGATATTTATTATAGTTAACAAATTACATGTAAGAGTTAACAGCTAATCAACTATAGTTAACATGTAATGGATTATAGTTAACCTCATTCCACTGTGCGTAAGTATATACCAGATCAGGTTAACTTGCTATATATTATAGTTAACAGGTAAATCCTCAACGTTCATATACACAACTAATGACATAAATAAGTATTTCAATAGTTAATAGGACAAATATACACAGCTATTGACATATATAAATCCAGTATTTCAATAGTTAATAGGACAAATATACACAGCTATTGACATATATAAATCCTCAACGTTCACATTTTTTGTAGGTGGGCATATACTTATGTTATCACACAGCTATTGACATATATAAATCCTCAACGTTCACATTTTTTGTAGGTGGGCATATACTTATGTTATCAGTGTAACTTAACAAGCTACCAAAAAAGTTAACATGTTATTTGTGTAGCTTAACAATCTAACTGCGAAAGTTAACATGTTACCTGTGCAACTTAACAAGTTAACAAAGAAAGTTAACAAGTTATCTGTGTAACTTAACAATCTAACTGTGAAAGTTAGCATGTTATCTGTGTAATTTAACAAGCTACCAAGAAAAGTTAACATGTTATCTGTGTAACTTAACAAGTTAACAAAAATAGTTAATATGTTATTTGTGTAGCTTAACAATCTACATGCGAAAGTTAACATGTTATATGTGTAACTTAACAAACTACCAAGAAAAGTTAACATGTTACATGTGTAACTTAATAATCTAACAGAGTAAATTAACAAGCTAACAAAAGTATTTCGATAGTTAATGACATATATAAGTATTTCAATAGTTAATAGGACAAATTTGTGCATCAATTTTATATCACATTTGCATTATAGTTCACATCCCTACAAAAGTATTTCAGTTCATATACACAGCTACTACATACATACAAAAGTATTTAGCTATTACATACACCCAAAAATATTTTAGTTCATACATACAAAAGTGTTACACATCCGCAACTCATATTAATCGGCGATCGGTTCGTTGCAAATTGCTCGGTTGTGGCGATCGGTTCGTTACAAAAGTGTTTCACATCTGCCTCCACCACTCTTCCCTTTGCCCCTCCTCATCCCTCCAACTATTCTGCTCCAGCGGCAGACCCCACCCTCTACTGTCGATCGCCGGCCATCTCCGAGTTCGATATATCATCCGACACAGATCCGAAACCCTATAACCCGATAAGCCTCATCTACCGCCCTTTGACTTCATCCTCATCACCATTTTCTCCACTGAGTTGGATAGTAGATAAAATTCAACGCTTCACAAACACACCAAAATCCTACAACAATTGCGGCACAAACAAACTCACACACATAAACACAAACACATCCCCTCTCAATTATTTTGACGATCAACCAAATCAAACTCCAACCCATTCCTCCTCGCCAAGCTCTCTCTATACACATACCTCAACAACTCCACCACAATATTCAAATACCCCTTCTCCGCCGCAATGAATAGCGTCGTCACCCCATCTCATTCAACTCGTTCACCGTCGCCGACCTGATGGTCGCCACCTATGTGTCAAACTTTACGGTGTAGGTGGTGCACCATTAGGGTAGAGAGGCTTCGTAACACAATGTGGGTGGTGTAATGTTGGAGGCGGAGCGTCGACTGAAAGCTGATGTGACATTTCAAAGATTGGGAGGTGCAAGGGTTGGGCGTGGTGTTCAGTCATTAGGTCGAACATGTGGCGTGCATTTAGGCAGAGCGTATTGTGGTGGCGGTGATAAATCAGCGAGGTTGGGGCTAAGGTTGGCCGGACTTGGGTTGGATAGAGGAAGGGGCTGCTGTGTGCTTATATGAGTTGGATCTAGAGTGGGTTGGGGAGTTGGCGGCTTCGTTGCCGGGGAGGCGTCTTCGTCGTCGATGTCGTCGTTGATGTCCGTAGCTGAGAACGGCGGCGGAGTCGTCGGTGATGTCGTCGTCAGTCATTAGAAAAACCCCAACAAGCAGCAGATCTCGACCCAGAGAGTTAAAGGAGGGGGCAGAGGGGGAGTGGAGGAGGAGAAGAAGAAAGGAGGAAGGTTGTTGAGGGTAAAGTTGGGATTTTGATGTAAAATGTATTGGAACTTAGGGAGAGGTGAGTTGGATGGACAGGGTATAAATTTTTCAAAAATTGGAGAGTGCAGCACATAGGTAAAAATAGGAGGTGCTGGGTCACACTGATTTTTAAAATTTGGAGCTTGGAAGCAATTTTCTCAAAAAAGAAGGAAAAAAGAAAAAGGAGATGAGAGAAAAAAGACGCGCTCACTAGAAGTGAAAGCGATCGCGAGCCAAAGGGAGAGAAAAAGAGAGGGAGAAGGGAGGGGGACGGGGAAAAAAGAGAGAAATAATTTGGGGATAAAAAGAACATTTCAGTATTGACAGAAGCGAGGGAGAGAGACGAAGATGGACAATAGAAACGTGGTGGTTTGCGACAGTGGCACAGGGGTAATTCCACTCATCTTCGTCTCTTAAGATCCATGCCAATGGGTTCTTTTTTTTAAATTTAAATCTTTGAATTTTTTAAACAAAATTTGATGCCGCGATGCTAGAGGCGTCGTAGCAGATCTAATTTGGCAATTTTTCACCCTCTATTGTTAATTTTGCGTCTCAGATCTGAAATATCGTTAATTTTACCCTTTTATGTGGTAGACTATAGAAATGTGAACTTGCCTGACTTGAAGATCTATTTAGGGTTTCGTGTAGGATTTTAGGCGTTCTTTGGATATATTTTTCAAATTTTTTATTTTTATTTTAAAATTGTCTTAGTTAGGAAACTTGGCATTAATTTTGATTGCAAAGCGATGAACTTTGCCTAATATGAACATAGAGAAAGGAAACTGAAACAATGTAATTCTAGGATTCACCATTTTAGTTGTTTTGGATAATAAACGAAATTGTTGCCTTGAATGATACAGTATGTGAAGTGTGGCTTTGCTGGAGAAAATTTCCCGTCCTCGGTATTCCCTTGTGTGGTTGGAAGGCCGCTGCTTCGTTACGAAGAGTCGCTCACCGAGCAAGCAGTGAAGGTTTGAATTTGCTTATTTATTTTCTTGTACCATTATTTAAATGGTGCTTTTTCAACTATAGTATGAGAAATGGAGTATAATTAGAGCAGTAAAATTCTTCCCGTGTTTCTTATTTTCACTCAATATATTGTGTAAATGGACTTTTTTGCTTAGCATTTTCCACGTGTTTGTAGGAGCTACTATTAGTCATTCAACAAAGTGCATCTGAATTTTTATTTTGACTAAATCAGTGATGAGGATGTCTTATCCATTGATTTACTGAATTATGAAATCATACAACCACTATAATTACTATAACAATAAACTTACAGAGATAACAGCAGGCCTTGAAGAGAGTCTGAGACCGATCCAAACTTTTATTTACTTATTCACATGATGTAAACTCATTCTATTACACTTTTAAAATAGGCAGTGTGCTAAGAACATATACATAATACCTGTCTGTTGACAATAATCTTTGGTCACCTATGAAAGTTCTGCATGATAGTGTACAAGTGTGTGGTAGTACACAAGGAAATGACAGTGTATAAGAATTGTGCAGCAAACACATGGCAAGAAGTAGAAAGTGTCTCGTCTTGGCATCTTTTGTTCATTTTTCTGCTCTAAAGGATCATCGTTAAGTGCACACAATTCACAAATAAAGTAAATATCCCATTAGCCAAAGCTATATGGTCTTAGATTAATTGACCTGAAACAAAATTTCCATTAGAAGAGTCAAATGTGGGATTTGTCATATGCTTCATTAAACAAGTATACCTTGAAGAAAAGGATTATGAAAAATGGTAAAAGAAGTAGAAAAGAGAATCCAAGTATATCACATTACAGATTCTATATTAAGTATTAAGTCTCTGACTACAAAATATTATGAGAGCACCTAAAGAATTTGTGTGAGCCTTGGATGCTTGCTGCTATTTCAGTTATAGCTGCTTCACCAGCTGTCATATCAGTTTCTGTAAAACTTTGTAATTGTTTTAAGAGCTAAAAAGATCTTGTCATAGTTTCTTTAAAGCACGGGACCTCTTTGTAGTTTCTTTATTTCAAGATCCGAGTCTCACGTCTTTATGTATTTTAATTTAATTCATAAGAAATTTGGATAGAGAAACAACAAACAATAAAGCAACAATTCCCAGTTCATTGAGATTTGGGAAGAAGGGGGAAAAAGGAGAAATCGAAGTGGGGATTGAGAGAGTTGGAGAGACGGTTTAAAGGTACAACAGGGAGAGTAAAATTAACAATTAATTTGGATTGATGTCAAGAACTGGTTGTAAATGCAAACACGCATGTCATCGCAAATGGGTTTAGGAGACCAAAGCGGCAGGCAGAAGAAAGTACCACTTCCTGTATGTAGTAGATAAAGAATAAAACTGCTCATCTCGACCTCATGATCAATTTTATTGAATATTCTATAATTATAATATTTGGTCCTTCTCTTTTGTCACAGGATATTGTTGTGGGTGAAGCTTGTGCAGACTTGCGACACCAACTTGACATATCTTACCCTGTTAGCAATGGAATTGTGCAAAACTGGGAAGATATGGTCCATGTATGGGACCATGCTTTTTTTAATGAACTGAAGGTATATTTTCACTACGCTAAATGCCAATTGAAGCTTGAAGCTGTAACATGTCATTTGTCATTATAAGCTGTGACATGTTCTGAGTATTTAATTACTTTAATATTTGCTAACTAAGTTACACTGTCTTAAGGTTTTCATAATATCCTTTTATTGTCACTATTTCTGTAACTATGAAATTTTGATCTTATGACTTCTTCTTTTCTTGATTTAGATAGATCCAACAGATTGCAAAATTTTACTCACAGATCCACCTCTTAATCCTTCAAAAAACCGTGAACAAATGGTGAGTTTGAGGTTTTGATTGCTCAGATTAGTCAATGTTATGCTCTATTTCTCAATTAAACTGCTGCATTGAAATCTTATAAGCTGGATTTTTGATGCAACAGATAGAAACCATGTTCGAGACTTACAATTTTAGTGCTGTTTTCATTCAAATCCAAGCTGTTTTGACATTGTATGCCCAAGGTATATTTTTTCTCCTCGATATGTTTGCTTCATTGAGTTTGATTTCGATATAATGAGACTAATGTGATGTTGCAAACAGAAGCTTGTAGGATAAACTTATGCACCATCTGGTCTTTTTATGGGTGCCATTAGCAATTCTCTGTTTATTTTCTGTTCAAATCAAGTGTTTGTTATTCAACAAGGTCTATGTGTTTCTTGACAGGATTGCTCACTGGCCTTGTTATTGACTCTGGTGATGGTGTCACTCATGTGGTATGATGCTTTGCAGTTCTGGATCTCTGGTACTTCTGATTATACAAAATTAGTAGCTCTTCTCTTTTTTACACCTAAGAATTTTTCCTCATAATGCAATAAAAAGGACTAATTTCCAGATATCTGTACATTTATTCAATCTAGGATCGAGATATCCTTCGGTCATCCAATTTTCACTGTTGCTTGAGTTATGAAAGAAGAAGACAAACTGTAGTCTGTACCATGCATTCCAAATACCTATTTAACACCTGAAAAGGTCACCTAGGGCAAAGCTGTAGTTCTATTTTTTCCTCCTTATACTGCTCACCACATCTAATAGATGATGCATAATAAATCATGCAACTTTATTTGCAATCAAGATGCATCACATTTAAGTTCTATGCTATTCCACACTTTTTTGCCTTAGACTTGAATCCAACTATGTATAGTAAACCTCTACCGTTCCTCCTATTCTTGAAGTATTTCAAGGTTCCTCCTTGGTTTCACAAGCTTAATCTGTGATAATGAGGTAAACTTTTCCCAACTTATTTCTTGTGTTTTTTCCATTGTTCTCTTGGCCATGAGTTTTGCACCATTTTAGGGGGAAGCTTTATGTCAGGTCTTACCCACATCATAGAATTTGTCTAGTCCTTCATGGAGCACTTATGCACCTTTGCTGAACTCATTTTGATGGGGGAACGCCTTAGGAGATGTTGGCTATATTATTTCGAGCATGTTATTAGGTTAAGTTGTCGTAGCTTGTGTTCATATGGATCTCCAATATATGGAGGTTAACCAGAAATGGCACACAGAATCAATCAATCTATTAGGCACAATTTAAATTCATTCAAATTTGGAGAAATTCCGGAGTTTCTGAATATTAGTCATGGATGATGAGAAGAAATGGAAAATATGCTGAACTTTGTTGTTGTATCAAATATGCTGAACTTTGTTGTTGTTGTATTCAAATTTGGAGAAATTCCGGAGTTTCTGAATATTAGTCATGGATGATGAGAAGAAATGGAAAATATGATTCAAATTTGGAGAAATTCCGGAGTTTCTGAATATTAGTCATGGATGATGAGAAGAAATGGAAAATATGCTGAACTTTGTTGTTGTATCAAATATGACTGAATATTAGTCATGGATGATGAGAAGAAATGGAAAATATGCTGAACTTTGTTGTTGTATCAAATATGATGATATGGATTGTTTATAAATTTTTATTATGACATAAAATTTTCATTTCTGTGCAAAGGCTGTTTCAGAGGTTTCTACTAATATACAAATGATGATGACATGTAATGTTATTTCCATTTAACAAAACTAGAAGTCTAGAACTAGAATGCTGAATTTGATAGTTGCAGTTGTTGTTTTGCTGATGTAACTAGGGAAGTGAAATGATATTGACTACTTAATGTAAGAAAGAGGAGAAAGAATATTATTCAATTTGTATGCGTGTGGTTTTGTGAACTGTTTCCCAATATTGTTGAAGAAAAAAGTTGTAATTTTCTGTTAAAAACAAATTTGTATGAGTAGTGTTGTCATAGGTGGTTTATGCCTCATCTTACACTCTTGATCCATCTTGGATAAAGTAGGATGTTTGCCTTATATAGTTGTTAACCAATGTAACATGAGTAGCCTTAGGTAGCAATAGAATGATAACTGATGATGAATTCTCACAAAATGCACATTGGATATCATTATGGTGCTTCATGTCTGCAACCTGTTGTAAAATGATCATGGCGCAAAGTGAGATATGATGGGGGAGGATATTGTTTCGAAGTGATGCACTGCATGCCAACTTGGTGCGAGATAGCATTCCCTTTTAATGGGAAGGTTCAGAGAGCTTGTTGACTGCCAGCAGTAAGCTTAGACGAGTCATGAGTGTATAAGCATACTTCTGGAAAATGTGCATGAGCTAGTTGATACAATAAGTCAATAATAGAAAGAAAATTTAATATTTGTTTATAAGCAACTATGAGA